GACTGATTGTTGTCCTATGGACAGACTCTGTGAGACAGGCCTCCTCTCTGACAATGTTTAAAACCAGGTTATCTGAGGGATTTTATATTTTTATCTTTCTTTTTATTTTTCTGTGATTATTTATGATTTTAATGCTTTGTTTTGTTCAGCACTTTGAATTGCCTTTTGTATGAATTGTGCTATACAAATAAACTTGCCTTGCCTTCTTTGTTATGCTAAATTTTGAGTTTTTAGACTTCTATTCTGTTTTAGTATAGTTATTGTTCCTGTTTCTTGTGCGGTGTGCTCCTCATTCCTACTGTTCTGTAACTGCTGAGGCAACACTGACATTTCCCCAGCGTGGGTCAAAATCAAGGACCTCTGTATATTAATCTAATGACGATGTTCAAATGATGGAGAGTCGCACCCGCTTTGGGCTGTGCTCCCGAACAGCCCCACTCGGAGATTGTAATTGCGCCCCAGCCCAATGAAGCTGCATTAGTCACGGACTTCCTGAAGGGAGGGTTCTGGGAAGGGCGGTTTGAGTGACAGGCAAAGAATGCATGAATTAAACAGTCATAGGGAAAGATGAAACTTGCAAACAATAGCCACGGGTTTGTTTTTATGCAACAGGTGCGACCGAACGCAATGGAAACACTGACGGTATTTAAAATCAGTCTGGTTTTCTCCCACTGGGGTTTTAGGACAGCAGTGATCCAGGACACTCCATAATCAACGATATTTATGGACTTTTGGACCAATGGCTCTATGTGTTTTTATCATTGCATTTCCAGTGTTTGATCTGTGATTCTCTGATCTGTGTTGGAGAATCGACAGCTTTGTAAAGGCCTTCGAGATAACTACTGTTGTGATTTAGGGCTGAAATAAATTAGAGAGAGAGAGCAGAGAGAGAGGCCAGAGAGAGAGAGAGAGACCAGAGAGAGAGGGACCAGAGAGAGATCAGAGAGAGAGACCAGAGAGAGACCAGAGAGAGAGAGAGAGAGACCAGAGAGAGAGAGAGACCAGAGAGGGACCAGAGAGAGAGACCAGAGAGAGACCAGAGAGAGAGAGAGAGAGACCAGAGAGAGACCAGAGAGAGAGACCAGAGAGAGACCAGAGAGAGACCAGAGAGAGAGACCAGAGAGAGACCAGAGAGAGACCGGAGGGAGAGAGACAAGAGAGAGACCAGAGAGAGACCAGAGGGAGAGAGACAAGAGAGAGACCACAGAGAGAGAGAGAGAGGCCAGAGAGATACCAGAGAGAAACAGAGCAGAGACAGCGAAAGAGACCAGAGAGAGACCCGAGAGAGTGTCCAGAGAGAGACACCAGAGAGAGAAACCAGAGAGAGAAACCAGAGAGAGACCAGAGAGACCAGAGAGAAACAGAGCAGAGACAGTGACAGAGACCAGAGAGCGACCCGAGAGGGAAACCAGAGAGACCAGAAAGAGACCCGAGAGAGTGTCCAGAGAGAGAGACCAGAGAGAGAAACCAGAGAGAGAAAACAGAGAGAGAGACCAGAGAGAGAGACCAGAGAGAGAGACCAGAGAGCAGAGAGAGACCAGAGAGAGACCTGAGAGAAGTACAGCCCCATTTCCAGGTGTTATTCTCTGGTCCTAGAGGTCTCTCTGATGGTGCTCTCTCTTGTCCTGGTCCTAGAGGTCTCTCTGATGGTGCTCTCTCTTGTCCTGGTCCTAGAGGTCTCTCTGATGGTGCTCTCTCTTGTCCTGGTCCTAGAGGTCTCTCTGATGGTGCTCTCTCTTGTCCTGGTCCTAGAGGTCTCTCTGATGGTGCTCTCTCTTGTCCTGGTCCTAGAGGTCTCTGATGGTGCTCTCTCTTGTCCTGGTCCTAGAAGTCTCTCTGATGGTGCTCCTTCTGGTCCTGGTCCTAGAGGTCTCTCTGATGGTGCTCTCTCTTGAACTGGTCCTAGAGGTCTCTCTGATGGTGCTCTCTCTTGAACTGGTCCTAGAGGTCTCTCTGATGGTGCTCTCTCTTGTCCTGGTCCTAGAGGTCTCTCTGATGGTGCTCTCTCTTGTCCTGGTCCTAGAGGTCTCTCTGATGGTGCTCTCTCTTGTCCTGGTCCTAGAGGTCTCTGATGGTGCTCTCTCTTGTCCTGGTCCTAGAAGTCTCTCTGATGGTGCTCTCTCTTGTCCTGGTCCTAGAGGTCTCTCTGATGGTGCTCTCTCTTGTACTGGTCCTAGAGGTCTCTGATGGTGCTCTCTCTTGTCCTGGTCCTAGAGGTCTCTCTGATGGTGCTCTCTCTTGTACTGGTCCTCGAGGTCTCTCTGATGGTGCTCTCTCTTGTCCTGGTCCTAGAGGTCTCTCTGATGGTGCTCTCTCTTGTCCTGGTCCTAGAGGTCTCTCTGATGGTGCTCTCTCTTGTCCTGGTCCTAGAGGTCTCTGATGGTGCTCTCTCTTGTCCTGGTCCTAGAAGTCTCTCTGATGGTGCTCTCTCTTGTCCTGGTCCTAGAGGTCTCTCTGATGGTGCTCTCTCTTGTACTGGTCCTCGAGGTCTCTCTGATGGTGCTCTCTCTTGTCCTGGTCCTAGAGGTCTCTCTGATGGTGCTCTCTCTTGTACTGGTCCTAGAGGTCTCTGATGGTGCTCTCTCTTGTCCTGGTCCTAGAGGTCTCTCTGATGGTGCTCTCTCTTGTACTGGTCCTCGAGGTCTCTCTGATGGTGCTCTCTCTTGTCCTGGTCCTAGAGGTCTCTCTGATGGTGCTCTCTCTTGTCCTGGTCCTAGAGGTCTCTCTGATGGTGCTCTCTCTTGTACTGGTCCTAGAGGTCTCTCTGATGGTGCTCTCTCTTGTACTGGTCCTAGAGGTCTCTCTGATGGTCCTCTCTCTTGTACTGGTCCTAGAGGTCTCTCTGATGGTGCTCTCTCTTGTACTGGTCCTAGAGGTCTCTCTGATGGTGCTCTCTCTTGTCCTGGTCCTAGAGGTCTCTCTGATGGTGCTCTCTCTTGTCCTGGTCCTAGAGGTCTCTCTGATGGTGCTCTCTCTTGTACTGGTCCTAGAGGTCTCTCTGATGGTGCTCTCTCTTGTCCTGGTCCTAGAGGTCTCTCTGATGGTGCTCTCTCTTGTACTGGTCCTAGAGGTCTCTCTGATGGTGCTCTCTCTTGTACTGGTCCTAGAGGTCTCTCTGATGGTGCTCTCTCTTGTACTGGTCCTAGAGGTCTCTGATGGTGCTCTCTCTTGTCCTGGTCCTAGAGGTCTCTCTGATGGTGCTCTCTCTTGTACTGGTCCTAGAGGTCTCTCTGATGGTGCTCTCTCTTGTACTGGTCCTAGAGGTCTCTGATGGTGCTCTCTCTTGTCCTGGTCCTAGAGGTCTCTCTGATGGTGCTCTCTCTTGTACTGGTCCTCGAGGTCTCTCTGATGGTGCTCTCTCTTGTCCTGGTCCTAGAGGTCTCTCTGATGGTGCTCTCTCTTGTCCTGGTCCTAGAGGTCTCTCTGATGGTGCTCTCTCTTGTACTGGTCCTAGAGGTCTCTCTGATGGTGCTCTCTCTTGTACTGGTCCTAGAGGTCTCTCTGATGGTCCTCTCTCTTGTACTGGTCCTAGAGGTCTCTCTGATGGTGCTCTCTCTTGTACTGGTCCTAGAGGTCTCTCTGATGGTGCTCTCTCTTGTCCTGGTCCTAGAGGTCTCTCTGATGGTGCTCTCTCTTGTCCTGGTCCTAGAGGTCTCTCTGATGGTGCTCTCTCTTGTACTGGTCCTAGAGGTCTCTCTGATGGTGCTCTCTCTTGTCCTGGTCCTAGAGGTCTCTCTGATGGTGCTCTCTCTTGTACTGGTCCTAGAGGTCTCTCTGATGGTGCTCTCTCTTGTACTGGTCCTAGAGGTCTCTCTGATGGTGCTCTCTCTTGTCCTGGTCCTAGAGGTCTCTCTGATGGTGCTCTGACCTGTGTCTAATGTCTTCTGTGGTGTATGTAAATGTATGTAACTCCTGTCCCATCACACATTTCACCTCAGAGACCATAAAGTAGTATCTTATCTGAGCTAATCTTGTTTAGAGACTAAACAGTTTTTTTGTCTTGCCCGTCGGCGTTACCTTGACTTTGGTGGCTGCGATGCCGTCGGCCCCGCGCAGAGTGATGGGGTAGAACTGGCCCTTGTTCAGGTAGACCATGGGGAGCTGGCTGGGCCTGTAGGGAGAGGCTGCAGCGGCCCCCAGAGAGAAGGTGAAGTCGCTCCTCAGGTGTTCCTGCGGAGAACCAGAGTAGGAGCCGGAGTAGATGGGACTGGACTGCTCCTCTGGGAAGGGGTCGGGGAAGCGAAGGGCCTGCGAGAGAGAGGGACGCGGAGAAAAGTGTAAGTGCCTTGAATCTTGTAAGACGCTTTGAGTGACCTTGGTCTGTGAGATGTGCTATATAAATAAAGCTTTCTTGCTGGCCTGCCTACCTTCTTACTTACTTACTATACCAACACTGCATAATGATTTATTTATACATTCTAGATCCCATAAAACTAAAAAATAAGAGTTAAAACTACCTCTTCAAGTCTTTATTTAGAGTTTCTCAGCAAGTAGACCATGATCGCCCATAACCACCCACAACAATGCTAACGTCCTAGCTTTCTCTGGATTCCTGTTGACTTGCATGTAAAAGTAAGTTGTAACGTTTGTGTCACACTCACCATTTTGGGCTTAAATCTGTGGTTTTTGGCTCTCTGTAATCGTGTTTTTGTAAATCCAGATAGTAGCCATATAAGAATTGACCAATGAGATGCCTTCATTCACGGGGGAAACTCCAGCTTGCCTTAGCAACCGTCTTAGCAACATGCCTGCCCCTGTCTGCAAAGCTAACGCCACAGGGAAAAAGCCATATATGGAGGTTGGCTCCAGCTAGCTTACGTAAAAATCGGCTTCTTCTGCCTTACGGCTAACGCTGTGGTGATTTTTCAATGTGTCTTTATTATGCTAAAGTTATCGATGTTATTCTTTCATATTTATTATGTTCTTTGTGTCCTTGAATGAGCAGAGAAGCACTCGTGTCTGCGGTGACGTGGTTCCAGACTCACCTCGGGGCCCGGGTCGGTGAAGGCCCCGCCCTCCGGCCACCGCTGCAGCAGGGAGTCGAAGATGTTGTTGAGCTCGTGTTTGTCGTAGGTGTCGGCCATGACGGTGGTAAGGCAGCTGTTGCCGTCTGTGGTGGGGACCGCAGCTTTGGAACCCTGCAGCTCCTGGGAGTAACTGCAGGGCACGCATTCACAACACAAAAGGTTTCAACAACACGCAAGATGGCCGCCGTTCTAGACCAGACCAGACCCTCCCCAGCAGTAAACAGTGGAATCTGTAGACTCCTACTTCCGGGTGGATCCTTAAAACTATTGGTCTTCCCGATTGTCAATCATTCTGGTACTCGATTCTGGAGTTTTATGCTTTCCTAAAATTTGGGAAAATCCTCCTTTAAACCTTTAAGCATATGCGTTATTAATGTCTGACTCAAAAGAAATACATATTCATAAATATAGACTGAATATAGAAGTTATTTTTACTAAATTAAACGTAAAAATGAACCAAGTGAAATTTAGAAGTGAAATAGTTGAATATAAATGTGTTTAACTTTATATTTTCTCTAGTTTTTAGTTAAATCTAAAACACATTTTGTTTTCAGAAAATAATAGTGAAACTCTGTCACATTAAAGTCCAGTCAAAACACCTCCATCGTGTAAATATCTCTTCTTTTGGCCCAGGACCAGTTCCTATTGTTTTTATTCAGCCCCAAAGGAGTTTGACACCCCCTGGTCTAGAATATACAGCATTTTATACTCGCTTCTTTAGGCTATGGACAGAGAGTTTATGTTATTTTAGAATTGAGTTATTGCTGTGTGCTCACTGATATTTTCTCACTTTTTGGACAATAAAAAAGGCTCTCTTAATCTATTGGTCCTCCCAGCTGTCAATAATTCTGGTGCTCGTCAAATAAGACCAGAGAGTTTTGTTCAAAAAAGGGGAGAGGGCGGTTCTTTCATAACATTTGGGAAAATCCTCCTTTATAACTTTAGTCTAAAAGTAAACAGTAAAATGTATTGATCTTATTTTGCATTTTATTTTGTCATTATTATTATTCTGTATTTTGTTATTATTTTATTTATTGATTTATTTTATGTATTTTTTATTTTTTATCTATTTTCATTTATTTTACTGTATTTTTTGTATTTTAGTATTTTTTGTATTTTTTAGTATTTTTAGTTTTTTTTATTTATTTATTTATTTATTTTCATTAATTTATTTCATTAAATTCATTTATTATTTCATTTATTTATTTTATCTAAACTGTGGACATAACAAGACACCACATATCCTAATACCATTTAAAATCATTGCAGTCTTGTCACACAAATAAAACGCCGCAGAAAGAACACAATAAAAAAGCAGTCGTTGAATCAGTGACATTCGGCCTCTCGTCCCTCATCTCCGTCCCTCTTTTCCCCTCGGGTTATTTGAGTTTCGCTCTTCTTTCAGGGACATTTCCCGTCGTTTGCGCAATCAGGAGTAATGGAGAGTATTGACATGAAGCAGTGAAGACAAAAGGGTGAAAGGACTATCACACCCACAGAGGCGACTCGGGGATTAGCCGCCGCTCTTATTTGCACATGTAGTGGTAGCAGTCATTTATTTGTTAGATAAACATCCAAGACAATACAAGACAATACAAGGGGAGCATGGTTTAGACCCTCCCACAGCAGTCAATTTGACGGCTCAATGTTTTATTAGTCAACACGATACGATGTGTTATTCTTTGTCTTCATAACTGTGTGTTTTTCTCTGTATCTTTACATTACGTTCATTTCTGTCATTTTCTTTGTTATGAAATCATCTTTTACTTTTGAAATTGTGAGTTCTACTTTTTACTAATTTTCCAGCAGAGATTATCAGGTGCTAGTTACCATAGCAACACACACAAGTTAGCATTAGCTGTATTTCAGTTACAGTTACAATGACCAGTTTTAGCACTAATTAAAAGCGAATTAAAAAAAAAGGTACAAAAACAAACTTTCTTATTTCTCAGAATAGCATTGGTTTGAATGGGAGCAGTCAAAAGGACGGCTCTGGGAGTCCTGGTGTGACCTACCTCTCAGTGGGTTTGAGGAGACTGATTCGGTTTGCAGGGACTTTCTGTTCTTTCTGGTTCTAGGACAGAATATTTTACATATTAGGTAAGTTTGTATGTGTAAGTGTGTGTGTGTGTGTGTATGTATGTAAATGTGTATGTGTAAGTGCGTAAGTATGTATTTCTGTATATGTGTAGGTGTGTATATAGATAGACCTTTATGGATGTGTATATATGCATGTGTGTGTCTATGTATGTGTGTAAGGGTGTGTATGTGTCTATGCATGTGTGTAAGGGTGTGTATGTGTCTATGCATGTGTGTAAGGGTGTGTATGTATGTATATATGCATGTGTGTGTCTATGTATGTGTGTATATGTGTCTATGTATGTGTGTAAGGGTGTGTATGTGTATATATATGCATGTGTGTGTCTATGTATGTGTGTAAGTGTGTAAGTCTGTATGTGTCAATGTATATGTGTAAGGGTGTGTATGGACAGATATATAGACCTTTATGTATGTATTGATGTGTGTATGTGTGTGTGTGTGTGTGTGTGTAATTGTGTATGCATGTGAACAGATTGATGGACCTTTATGTATGTGTGCGTGAATGTGTGTATGTATGTAAGTGTGTGTGTGTGTGGACAGATAGACCTTTATGTATGTATGTAACCATGCTCTTTAACATGGAGCTACGATGGGAGTCAACAGTTATGGGATGTTTTGCTAAAAGACCCCTGTATTCAGCAACAACAGAGTTAGAGCCCCCAGTGCAGCAGGTTTTATGTTCTCTGTTCATTCTGGCTCAAGGAAAGAACCTTTTACACTGCAAAAAGTGATGAAAAATAAGTCAAAAAAATCGACCAAATGTGGCCAAATGTATCTTAATTAGAGCACATTCTGACTGAGCCTTAAAACTATTTGTCAATGTGAAAAAGCAAAATGATCTCCAGTGTTTCCCACAGGTTTGAAGGCAATGTGTGGTGGTCGTCGGCGGGGGGGGGGGGGGGGGGGGGGGGGGGGGGGGGGAGTGGGGTACAGTGGTACAGTGGTAGAGGACAATCTTGAGGTCATGAATCCAGTGAAATTAGTCGCACACCTTTTTACAGTAATAAGTTACAGCAGATCAAAAGTGACATGTTTTGACAATTTTTAGGCTATTTTGGACCAAAATGGCTGCTTTAAATCAATATTTCTACAGTAAAAGTTTCTGGTCTTTGGTACAGTGGTAGAGGGCAATCATGAGGTCGTGAATCCAGTGAAATTAGTCGCACACCTTTTTACAGTAAAAAGTTACAGTAGATCAAAAGTGACATGTTTTGACTATTTTGGAGGTATTTTGGACCAAAATGGCTACTTTACCTCAATATTTCTCAATATTTCTACAGTAAAAGTTTCTGGTCTTTGGTACAGTGGTAGAAGGCAATGTTGAGGTCATGAATCCAGTGAAATCAGTTGCACACCTTTTTACAGTGAAAAGTTACAGTAGATCAAATGTGACATGTTTTGACCATTTTTAGGCTATTTTGGACCAAAATGGCTACTTTAAATCAATATTTCTCAATATTTCTACAGTAAAAGTTTCTGGTCTTTGGTGGCAGAGGGCAATAATAAGGTCATGAGTCAAGTGAAATTAGTCGCACACCTTATTCCAGTAAATAGTTACAATACTTGAAAATTGCACTAGCGGACCAAATTGTGTACTTTATACATGTAAACAATAGAGTGGCTATCCTCCTGAGGACTCACAATCTGCAGGAGGAATCGTAGGGGGCTGGTGCTATGTGTGCCGGGTGGCATCTCTATAAGGTTTTAATCACAAAAACGTGTCTCCCTGACCCCAGCGCGCTTTCTGTTCGATAAAAATGGGTGACTCCGAAAGGACGTTCCGCTGTTACCGTAAGTTCTCAACAAAACGCGCACCGTCTTTTCCCCGATGCGGGCCGCATGTTCATAGAGCTGAAAGATGCGGGCCACTTTACCGCGGTAAATTAATAGACACAGCTGCTTACAGCGATGATCGCTGATGGAGACGGAGACACGCGGTGTGCACGAAGGGGAGGGGCTGTGTGTGTGTAGGTCTCTGTATGTGGGAGAGACGCGTAGCTTGAGTGAGAGTTACGAAGGGCCGCCACATTTTAAACCCCCCTCCCCGCTGTCAAATTGACCGCTGCGGCGGCACTAGACGATGCATGTTTTAAATAGCGTAACAAAATATATATATATATAATAATACGAAACGCAATTTGTGGCGGGCGGTCTCTAATCTGTGGCGGTGCGCCACAGATTAGTCTATGTGTGGGAAACACTGGATCTTGATTCAAAAAGATTCAAGAAAAGTCTCCATTGGAATGAGAAAATAAAGCAACAATTAATGAAATGAGACTAAATGGTTTTGTCCCATTGGAGAATATTGCACAAAAACAGTCAGAATCGGCTCAGATTAAGATAAAAAACACTTGATTTAAGCCATTATTGACTCATATTTGATCATTTTTTGCAGTGTATTGAATCAGAAATGACATGAGAAAAAGGCGTCAGGCCGATGTGGTTGTGATAAAATCCAGTTCATTTCCACATTTCCAGTACCTTGCACTGTTCGTAGAGCATGGTGATGGCTGTGATGTCGTCTCCCGGTTGGAGTCGGGGTTTGGAGAGGTTCTGATCCAGCCCCGGGTCGTTCATGTACGACCAGGAGTCCATGGTGCTGGGGAAACGGTTATAGTTGAAGTTCTCACTCTGAAAGACCAGTCCCAGGGTCCTGCAGGAAGGAAGGACATGAACGAGTGACTTAGACCTGGGTCTACAGCCTCGGTCCTGAGTCTACAGCCTCAGTCCTGGGTCTACAGCCTCAGTCCTGGGTCTACAGCCTCGGTCCTGGGTCTACAGCCCCAGTCCTGGGTCTCGGTCCTGGGTCTACAGCCTCGGTCCTGGGTCTACAGCCTCGGTCCTGGGTCTACAGCCTCGGTCCTGGGTCTACAGCCCCAGTCCTGGGTCTCAGTCTTGGGTCTACAGCCTCGGTCCTGGGTCTACAGCCTCGGTCCTGGGTCTACAGCCTCGGTCCTGGGTCTACAGCCTCGGTCCTGGGTCTACAGCCTCAGTCCTGGGTCTCGGTCCTGGGTCTACAGCCTCGGTCCTGGGTCTACAGCCTCGGTCCTGGGTCTACAGCCTCGGTCCTGGGTCTACAGCCTCGGTCCTGGGTCTACAGCCTCGGTCCTTGGTCTACAGCCTCGGTCCTGGGTCTACAGCCTCGGTCCTGGGTCTACAGCCTCGGTCCTGGGTCTACAGCCTCAGTCCTGGGTCTACAGCCTCGGTCCTGGGTCTACAGCCTCGGTCCTGGGTCTACAGCCTCGGTCCTGGGTCTACAGCCTCAGTCCTGGGTCTACAGCCTCAGTCCAGGGTCTACAGCCTCAGTCCAGGGTCTACAGCCTCAGTCCTGGGTCTATTGCCTCAGTCCTGGGTCTACAGCCTCAGTCCTGGGTCTACAGCCTCAGTCCTGGGTCTACAGCCTCAGTCCTGGGTCTACAGCCTCAGTCCAGGGTCTACAGCCTCAGTCCAGGGTCTACAGCCTCAGTCCTGGGTCTACAGCCTCAGTCCTGCCTGGGTCTACAGCCTCAGTCCTGGGTCTACAGCCTCAGTCCTGGATCTACAGCCTCAGTCCTGGGTCTACAGCCTCAGTCCTGGATCTACAGCCTCAGTCCTGGGTCTACAGCCTCAGTCCTGGGTCTACAGCCTCAGTCCTGGATCTACAGCCTCAGTCCTGGGTCTACAGCCTCAGTCCTGGATCTACAGCCTCAGTCCTGGATCTACAGCCTCAGTCCTGGGTCTACAGCCTCAGTCCTGGGTCTACAGCCTCAGTCCTGGGTCTACAGCCTCAGTCCTGGGTCTTCAGCCTCGGTAAAGTGTTGTAGAGTGACGTTCAGAGGCTGCATTGCTGCAGTGGTTGACATACTCCAGAACAAGCGCGGTGTCAATTGCAGATCAACACAAACACTTCACAAAGACAAAGGTTTGTTTTAGGATTGGAGTTGAAAGTGCACTGTAAAAGTACCCTGATAATCCTCCCAATCCCAATCCCCTTTGAACCATCAACAACAGAGCGGAATAAATCAGAATCACAATCCTCCCCTTTTCATTGTTGTTAAATCAGGTCTGCAATTTAACTATGATGAAAATTAGTTTTGTCCATTTTACCCGAGTTTTGGCCATGATTTTCCGCAGATATTTATTATATTTAAAAGCGCTTCACTTTTTTTAGCGCTCTGTGATCCTGGTCTGTGAAAGGAGCTATACCAAAAAACTTGACTTACTTACTGTATATAGATTACAGTTTTATTCCGACTGCGCAGAAAAAAAAAGTAGCTCTCGGCCATTTCTGTTGCGTAAAAGTAGCTCCTCGATCACAAAATGAGCACTAATGACATAGCATTTGATCTTCGGTCACTGGGGAAATTCCAGTGTTGCATCACCAAACAAAACAGTAGGAATGAGGAGCACACTAGCATCATAACAAAGCAAATATAACATCTCTGACTTCAGCATGATAATAAAGAGCAAGCCTAATCATTTTAATTTAAGAGGTCGTTTTAACAGATTTCTTTATGTCTTTTTTTTTGCCTATTTTGACTAAAAACCAAAGCACATTCTTAGTTTGTCCCTAAATCCCAACAGCAGTTATCGCAGAGGTCTTAACAAAACAATGAGCCATTGGTCCAGCAATGTTCATAAAAATAAAAATACATATATATAATTATAGACCAATGACAAAGTCTGAGAAGGTTTTCTGTCCAGCGGCCGGTAAAGTCATGACAGGACTCCAGGACACGTACTCGAGTACATTCATCTGTATCTTATCCCTCCACACTCACTTCTTTCCTTTTGAACCAGGCACTATAGTAATGTCTCTGGTAAATGGATGTGTGTAAAAATATGTATTGTGCAGGTGTGATATTTACGTATTTATCTATAAAGTTAGAGATTTTATACTTGCTTCTTAATTATAGTATATACTATAGTAACTATACCAGGAAACCGGAGTACCTGGAGGAAACCTACGCAGACATGGGGAGAACATGCAAACTCCGCTCGGAAAGGTTCGGGTCCCAGCCAGCCTCTCCGTCACTGTTTCTCCTAAAGTGATCAGGGCCTCTTGATTTCAACCGATACGTAATCACTGGAGTAAAATATCCTATCTATCTATAATCTAAGTAAAATTAGCAGTATGTGGGAAATTCCTTGGTAACCATAGCTTCACACAGCACTATGGCCAATCACTGTCAGTTAGCAGACTTTGGTACTAGCTCGGCCTGGATAGAACCAGGACCAAGAGGGACTCAAGAAGGACCTGGTACTACATACACAGGACCAGAGTCAGGGGAGAGTAGACTAGAGTAGAGTAGAGTAGAGTAGAGTAGAGTAGAGTAGAGTAGAGTAGAGTAGAGTAGAGTAGAGTAGAGTAGAGTAGAGTAGAGTGAAATAGAGTAGAGTAGAGTAGAGTAGAGTAGAGTAGAGTAGAGTAGAGTAGAGTAGAGTAGAGTAGAGTAGAGTGAAATAGAGAGAGTAGAGTAGAGTAGAGTAGAGTAGAGTAGAGTAGAGTAGAGTAGAGTAGAGTGAAGTAGAGTAGAGTAGAGAGTAGAGTGAAATAGAGTAGAGTAGAGTAGAGTAGAGTAGAGTAGAGTAGAGTAGAGTAGAGTAGAGTAGAGTAGAGTAGAGTAGAGTAGAGTGAAGTAGAGTAGAGTAGAGTAGAGTTGGTGTCATAGCATCATTTCTATCATCTCTCTCTCTCTCCACATGTTATTAATCGATTTTAAAACCCTTAAATGCAGTTGTTTTCATTTTCCGTTCAGCACAAAGTGAAGAGAGTCTCAGAACCAGAAACGAACTTACTCAGTCTCTTTGGTCATGTCTCCTGCGTGTCTCTGATCCCGCAGGCGGCTGTCAGGGCGTGAGGAGCGTGAGGAGCGTGAGGAGCGTGAGGAGCGTGAGGAGCGTGAGGAGGTGAGGAGCGTGAGGAGCGTGAGGAGGTGAGGAGGTGAGGAGGAGCAGTGATGAGTGCGGAGCTGAGATTGTGTGGTTCTGTGATTTCCCCGAGAGAAGAGACACAGATTTGTATTTGTGGGCGGGGCCGCGGCTCTGGCCCTTCTCTGTGATTGGCTGAGAGTCTGCTGTGACAGGTGCGTGATAGGACAGGTGTAGCAGAGGTTAACACTTACGATGTTGGGGAGAGAGGGGGAGAGAGGGGGAGAGGGGGAGAGAGGGGAAAGAGGGGGAGAGAGGGAGAGAGAGGGGAGAGAGGGGGAGAGAGGGAGAGAGGGAGAGAGAGGGGGAGAGAGGGGAGAGAGGGGGAGAGGGGAGAGAGGGGAGAGAGGGGGAGAGAGGGGGAGAGGGGGAGAGGGGAGAGAGGGGGAGAGAGGGGAGAGAGGGGAGAGAGGGGGAGAGAGGGGGAGAGAGGGGAGAGAGGGGGAGAGAGGGGGAGAGGGGGGAGAGAGGGGAGAGAGGGAGAGAGGGAGGAGAGGGGAGAGGGGGGAGAGGGGAGAGAGGGGAGAGAGGGGAGAGGGGGAGAGAGAGGGGGAGAGAGGGGAGAGAGGGGAGAGGGGGAGAGGGGGAGAGAGGGGAGAGAGGGGGGAGAGAGGGGAAGAGGGGGAGAGGGGAGAGAGAGGGGAGAGAGGGGAGAGAGGGGAGAGAGGGGAGAGGGGGAGAGAGAGAGAGAGAGAGAGAGAGAGAGAGGGGAGAGAGGGGGAGAGGGGAGAGGGGAGAGAGGGAGAGAGGGGGAGAGAGGGGAGAGAGGGGAGAGAGGGGAAGAGGGGGGAGAGGGGGAGGAGAGAGGGAGAGAGGGGAGAGAGGGGGAGAGAGGGAGAGAGGGAGAGAGAGGGGGAGAGAGGGAGAGAGGGAGAGAGAGGGGGAGAGGGGGGGGGGAGAGCAGCAGGCGGCTTGAGAATAATGGAAATTAATGGAAAAACTGAATATCGCTGCTTCCCCCTCTCTTAGATACACACACGCACACGTACACGCACACATGCACACACACACACACACAAACGCACACATGCACATACGCATAAATACAAACACACCCTGACACACACACACACACACACACACACAGTCTCCAGTGAGTTGCGGTGGGGTTGGTGATTGGTGAGTCTCTTACATCCATCAGAGCGTTTGTTTCACTCACAAAAAGCATGAAACACACATTAAACGTGTGTTATAGAACCCCACATCACTGCAGTTCAGACTAGTCTCATGTTCAAGTCCAGATAATAGAGTGTAGATGTGTTTTCCTCCATAATTCCTCCATAAAAAATAAAAACACACACAGGTGTCTTCTCTCGCGTTTCTGTCTACAGCCGACTCTGGGTACATCCAAATTCTTAAACCAACCTTCTTACCCTCACTTCCTTATCATTCATCCCTCCTATCAACATTTAAAGCACAACATTCACCTCAGTGGAGCTTTCCACATGTTAAATGTGTCACATTTATATTGAACCTGCAGCTGCTCTCAGCAGAAGGAGAAGCAAGAAGGCTTTGGATGCAGCCGAATCCTGGGCTCACGATCGCCCTCTTGTGGCCGCACTGCGATAAAGACCCACATTTGTTTGACCTAGTATTACTGTTTCCATTTTATTTTGTTTTGTTTCCAAGACACACACACACACACCACAGCCTTAATTATTATTCATTTAATTAATTAAAACATGATTTCTGCACAACAGTCTCAGCCTCAGTCCTGGGTCTACAGCCTCAGTCCTGGATCTATAGCCTCAGTCCTGGATCTACAGCCTCAGTCCTGGGTCTACAGCCTCAGTCCTGGGTCTACAGCCTCAGTCCTGGGTCTACAGCCTCAGTCCTGGGTCTACAGCCTCAGTCCTGGGTCTACAGCCTCAGTCCTGGGTCTACAGCCTCAGTCCTGGGTCTACAGTCTCAGTCCTGGGTCTACAGCCTCAGTCCTGGGTCTACAGCCTCAGTCCTGGGTCTACAGTCTCAGTCCTGGGTCTACAGCCTCAGTCCTGGGTCTACAGCCTCAGTCCTGGATCTACAGCCTCAGTCCTGGGTCTACAGCCTCAGTCCTGGGTCTACAGCCTCAGTCCTGGGTCTACAGCCTCAGTCCTGGATCTACAGCCTCAGTCCTGGGTCTACAGCCTCAGTCCTGGATCTACAGCCTCAGTCCTGGATCTACAGCCTCAGTCCTGGATCTACAGCCTTAGTCCTGGGTCTACAGCCTCAGTCCTGGGTCTACAGCCTCAGTCCTGGGTCTACAGCCTCAGTCCTGGGTCTACAGCCTCAGTCCTGGATCTACAGCCTCAGTCCTGGATCTACAACCTCAGTCCTGGATCTACAGCCTCAGTCCTGGGTCTACAGCCTCAGTCCTGGATCTACAGCCTCAGTCCTGGATCTACAGCCTCAGTCCTGGATCTACAGCCTCAGTCCTGGGTCTACAGCCTCAGTCCTCGATCTACAGCCTCAGTCCTGGATCTACAGCCTCAGTCCTGGATCTACAGCCTCAGTCCTGGATCTACAGCCTCAGTCCTGGGTCTACAGCCTCAGTCCTGGATCTACAGCCTCAGTCCTGGTTCTACAGCCTCAGTCCTGGATCTACAGCCTCAGTCCTGGGTCTACAGTCTCAGTCCTGGGTCTACAGCCTCAGTCCTGGGTCTACAGCCTCAGTCCTGGATCTACAGCCTCAGTCCTGGATCTACAGCCTCAGTCCTGGGTCTACAGCCTCAGTCCTGGATCTACAGCCTCAGTCCTGGGTCTACAGCCTCAGTCCTGGATCTACAGCCTCAGTCCTGGGTCTACAGCCTCAGTCCTGGGTCTACAGCCTCAGTCCTGGGTCTACAGCCTCAGTCCTGGGTCTACAACCTCAGTCCTGGATCTACAGCCTCAGTCCTGGATCTACAGCCTCAGTCCTGGATCTACAGCCTCAGTCCTGGGTCTACAGCCTCAGTCCTGGATCTACAGCCTCAGTCCTGGGTCTACAGCCTCAGTCCTGGATCTACAGCCTCAGTCCTGGATCTACAGCCTCAGTCCTGGATCTACAGCCTCAGTCCTGGGTCTACAGCCTCAGTCCTGGGTCTACAGCCTCAGTCCTGGGTCTACAGCCTCAGTCCTTGGATCTACAGCCTCAGTCCTGGATCTACAGCCTCAGTCCTGGATCTACAGCCTCAGTCCTGGATCTACAGCCTCAGTCCTGGGTCTACAGCCTCAGTCCTGGGTCTACAACCTCAGTCCTGGATCTACAGCCTCAGTCCTGGGTCTACAGCCTCAGTCCTGGATCTACAGCCTCAGTCCTGGATCTACAACCTCAGTCCTGGGTCTACAGCCTCAGTCCTTGGATCTACAGCCTCAGTCCTGGATCTACAACCTCAGTCCTGGATCTACAGCCTCAGTCCTGGGTCTACAACCTCAGTCCTGGATCTACAGCCTCAGTCCTGGGTCTACAGCCTCAGTCCTGGGTCTACAACCTCAGTCCTGGATCTACAGCCTCAGTCCTGGGTCTACAGCCTCAGTCCTGGATCTACAGCCTCAGTCCTGGATCTACAGCCTCAGTCCTGGGTCTACAGCCTCAGTCCTTGGATCTACAGCCTCAGTCCTGGATCTACAGCCTCTGTCCTGGATCTACAGCCTCAGTCCTGGATCTACAACCTCAGTCCTGGATCTACAGCCTCAGTCCTGGGTCTACAGCCTCAGTCCTGGGTCTACAACCTCAGTCCTGGATCTACAACCTCAGTCCTGGATCTACAGCCTCAGTCCTGGATCTACAGCCTCAGTCCTGGATCTACAGCCTCAGTCCTGGATCTACAGCCTCAGTCCTGGATCTACAGCCTCAGTCCTGGGTCTACAGCCTCAGTCCTGGATCTACAGCCTCAGTCCTGGATCTACAACCTCAGTCCTGGATCTACAGCCTCAGTCCTGGATCTACAACCTCAGTCCTGGATCTACAGCCTCAGTCCTGGATCTACAGCCTCAGTCCTGGATCTACAACCTCAGTCCTGGATCTACAGCCTCAGTCCTGGATCTACAGCCTCAGTCCTGGATCTACAGCCTCAGTCCTGGGTCTACAGCCTCAGTCCTTGGATCTACAGCCTCAGTCCTGGATCTACAGCCTCAGTCCTGGATCTACAGCCTCAGTCCTGGATCTACAACCTCAGTCCTGGATCTACAGCCTCAGTCCTGGGTCTACAGCCTCAGTCCTGGGTCTACAACCTCAGTCCTGGATCTACAACCTCAGTCCTGGATCTACAGCCTCAGTCCTGGATCTACAGCCTCAGTCCTGGATCTACAGCCTCAGTCCTGGATCTACAGCCTCAGTCCTGGATCTACAGCCTCAGTCCTGGGTCTACAGCCTCAGTCCTGGATCTACAGCCTCAGTCCTGGATCTACAACCTCAGTCCTGGATCTACAGCCTCAGTCCTGGATCTACAACCTCAGTCCTGGATCTACAGCCTCAGTCCTGGATCTACAGCCTCAGTCCTGGATCTACAACCTCAGTCCTGGATCTACAGCCTCAGTCCTGGATCTACAGCCTCAGTCCTGGATCTACAGCCTCAGTCCTGGATCTACAACCTCAGTCCTGGATCTACAGCCTCAGTCCTGGATCTACAGCCTCAGTCCTGGATCTACCCTGTGGCTCCTACTGTATGTGTTTGATATTGTTGCATTACTTGTGTTTGATTCTCTGCTCTGTTGTTGGTGAATCAATAACTTTGTAAAGTCCTGAAGTCGACTGATTTAGGGCTATACATAAATACATTGAATATGGAACAAGGCTTCTACGTCAACACACACATCTGCCTTTTGTACATACTCAGGGGAAAGATTCTTCAAGAGATCAAACAATAGCTTTTCCTTTGTCTAACTTTGCAAACCAGACGTCATCAGAACTTATAAGATGGTTCTGAGCTCAGCGTTGGTTCCCTTTGCTTTGAAGCTGCGCACTTCAAGGACATGTTCAGCGTCTTGTAGAGAACACACTGTGCCGTCAGTTGTGCGTTCACTTTAGATCTCGGCGTTTGGACCTTTTCAGTCGATAACAGAACAACATCAGTTCTTCTCTGAAAAACTATCTTTTCTCCATTCTTTGGCTTTACTGTACTCACAATCAAAGTAGAGAAAGTCTTTGTGAAAGTTCCAAAGTAAAGATCAAAGGAAAGTGTCGGACTCATTTTGGTTGGTTTTTATTAAAGTGTTTTTTTCAGACTTATGTTTCTCAAATGGAAAGATACAGAAAAGAGGATTTGGATGAAGCAGATGGTTATTGGGCTCCAACCCCCTCCTTCACACAACACACACCAGCACACACACACGATACACACACCAGCACACACACACGATACACACACCAGCACACACACACGATACACACACCAGCACACACACACGATACACATACCAGCACACACACACGATACACACACCAGCACACACACACGATACACACACCAGCACACACACACGATACACACACCAGCACACACACACGATACACACACCAGCACACACATGATACACACACACGATACACACACCAGCACACACACACGATACACACACCAGCACACACACACGATACACACACCAGCACACACACACAATACACACACCAGCACACACACATGATACACATACCAGCACACACACACGATACACACACCAGCACACACATGATACACACACACGATACACACACCAGCACACACACATGATACACACACACGATACACACACCAGCACACACACATGATACACACACACGATACACACACCAGCGCACAAACACACACATGAAAACACCAGCACACACACAAAAACACACACAGACACACACAGACACGCACACACAGACACACACACACACACACACACACACACACACACACACACACACACACACACACACACAGGCCCAGTAATGTTAAAAGCAATGGCTGGTCAGAGGCTGAAAAAGTGGTTCTCTTTGTGGAAAGTCAGATGTTATAGATGAGGTAACACACAAAATGATTAATGGATGATATTTTCTGGTAGATTTTTCTGAACAAACCAAGTTGAGTTCCTGTGTGTTTGGATTGAACAAACCAACGATGAAGAATTGTAATTGCAGAAGAATAAGCCAATGATTTTAATTTGTCTAACCACATTCAACTGTACATTGGGTTCAAATTATAGAATACATGGTTGTTTTCTCCTGCTGGTCCCAGAGTCAGGACTAAACATGGGGCAGCAGCGTTTGAGAGTTATGCAGCTAAAATCTGGAACAGTCTCCCTGAAAATGTGAGACAGGCTTCTACTAAACAGTTCTTTTTAGCTGTGCATACAACCGAAGGATTGCACCTTTCTAATGCACTGTGATTATGATGATTTTGATCTTGTTTGTTTGAGTTGCCTTGTGTCCGAACCGTGCAATACAAATAAACATGCCTTGTCTATTGAACAAATTAGTCCCAAATAGTGTATAATATCTTATCTTGTATAAAATCTTATCTGTGTGTTTTGTTTTTCTTCCAGCTGACCAACAGAGAACTCCACTTCCGATACCGCTGTGGACCGTCTCCCCCCGGCTCTTTATTGGTTCGATCCAACCCTCTCTCCGACAGCCAATGGCACAGCGTTGTACTGGAAGTCAACTCAACCGTCCTGAGCCTCCTATTGGACGACCACCCTGCAGTCTCCGCCCACATTTCCCATCCGTGTCACATGACCTCCCCCCACGGCGCCATGCTACTCGCTAACGCAGCTCAGGTCTCGACTCCCAGGCTTCCACGGAGTTTCGTTGGATGTTTGGACGCCTTGAGCCTGAACGGGGAGCCAATCAGAGTGGACGATGGTGCAGAGTGGGCGGGGCACGGGCTGAGGAGGGTGTTTGGGGTTTTTCAATGCTGTCGAAATACAGGGGCGTGCGGCCGGCGGACATGTTTGAACCAAGGAGTCTGCGAAGAAGACGACAGCGGAGGTGAGCGAGACCGTGCTACTACTTGTTAATCCATATCAAATGTTGTGTATATACATTTTCTCCTTTCTTCTCTCCTTAATGTTATTCCAACTTGACTTTACTGATGCAAAAATAATGTAAATATCTACAACTAAAATTTCTAGGAGCCATTTTTTGGTCAGTCTCTATCAGGTTCATAAAAGCACATGTGAGGTTCCCCAGGGTTCAGTGTTTGGTCCGATACTTTTTAACCTTTTCCCTCTTGACACGTGGCATTAGGAGATACTGAATTATCTTGCATGGTTAGTTATTTGTATCTGTAAATATACCAACATTAAAAATTGTCAATTGTTGATGATTCACAGCTGTATCTCTGTGTTATCCTGATGACACCAGGCCAGTGGATTTTGTTTCACAGAAATTTAGACCTGACGATTTTAGTTTTAGGATAGAGCAACTTCTGTTCATCCTAATGACACCTGCCTAAAATGTACAGGACCCAACACTGATCCCTGGGGAATCCCACATATTATTATAGGAACCTGAGAGGAGCAGGGATCCAGTTTGACCTAAACTGCTCCAATACATCTAAGTTATAGTCATTGGGATTAGCTTTGCCTCAGTCAAGTGAAAGTTTAATGGGAAAATGTAGACACACAACATTCAACAACAAAACTCAGACCCTTTGCGTAGCTCCGACTAAACCCTTCATTAAGCAAAATAAAGGCACATTCAATCAACATTTATTTAGAGCAATTTTCCTTCACATTAGGCTTTCAATCATCGCCATTAAAATGACACAGGGCATTAAGCACAACCATTAAGATCACACCAGGTATTAAAAAACATAAACACTAAAATCACAGAAGGGATTAAGATCATGAATAATCACAGTTCATTAAAAAGAGTCGATACAATCCTTCAGTCGTCTGCACACGGCCACACAACTGTTTTAGCCTGGAACACGGCCACACAACTGTTTTAACCTGGAACACGGCCACACAACTGTTTTAGCCTGGACCACGGCCACACAACTGTTTTAATCTGGAACACGGCCACACAACTGTTTTAGCCTGGAACACGGCCACACAACTGTTTTAACCTGGAACACGGCCACACAACTGTTTTAGTCTGGAACACGGCCACACAACTGTTTTAATCTGGAACACGGCCACACAACTGTTTTAGCCTGGAACACACACAACTGTTTTAGCCTGGAACACGGCCACACAACTGTTTTAGCCTGGAACACACACAACTGTTTTAGCCTGGAACACGGCCACACAACTGTTTTAGTCTGGAACACGGCCACACAACTGTTTTAGTCTGGAACACGGCCACACAACTGTTTTAGCCTGGAACACACACAACTGTTTTAACCTGGAACACGGCCACACAACTGTTTTAGTCTGGAACACGGCCACACAACTGTTTTAACCTGGAACACGGCCACACAACTGTTTTAATCTGGAACACGGCCACACAACTGTTTTAGCCTGGAACACACACAACTGTTTTAGCCTGGAACACGGCCACACAACTGTTTTAGCCTGGAACACACACAACTGTTTTAACCTGGAACACGGCCACACAACTGTTTTAATCTGGAACACGGCCACACAACTGTTTTAGCCTGGAACACGGCCACACAACTGTTTTAACCTGGAACACGGCCACACAACTGTTTTAGCCTGGAACACGGCCACACAACTGTTTTAATCTGGAACACGGCCACACAACTGTTTTAGCCTGGAACACGGCCACACAACTGTTTTAACCTGGAACACGGCCACACAACTGTTTTAGTCTGGAACACGGCCACACAACTGTTTTAATCTGGAACACGGCCACACAACTGTTTTAGCCTGGAACACACACAACTGTTTTAGCCTGGAACACGGCCACACAACTGTTTTAGCCTGGAACACACACAACTGTTTTAGCCTGGAACACGGCCACACAACTGTTTTAGTCTGGAACACGGCCACACAACTGTTTTAGTCTGGAACACGGCCACACAACTGTTTTAGCCTGGAACACACACAACTGTTTTAACCTGGAACACGGCCACACAACTGTTTTAGTCTGGAACACGGCCACACAACTGTTTTAACCTGGAACACGGCCACACAACTGTTTTAATCTGGAACACGGCCACACAACTGTTTTAGCCTGGAACACACACAACTGTTTTAGCCTGGAAGACGGCCACACAACTGTTTTAGCCTGGAACACACACAACTGTTTTAGCCTGGAACACGGCCACACAACTGTTTTAGCCTGGAGCACGGCCACACAACTGTTTTAGTCTGGAGCACGGCCACACAACTGTTTTAGCCTGGAGCACGGCCACACAACTGTTTTAGCCTGGAACACGGCCACACAACTGTTTTAGCCTGGAACACGGCCACACAACTGTTTTAGCCTGGAGCACGGCCACACAACTGTTTTAGCCTGGAGCACGGCCACACAACTGTTTTAGTCTGGAACACGGCCACACAACTGTTTTAGCCTGGAGCACGGCCACACAACTGTTTTAGCCTGGAACACGGCCACACAACTGTTTTAGCCTGGAACACGGCCACACAACTGTTTTAGCCTGGAACACGGCCACACAACTGTTTTAATCTGGAACACGGCCACACAACTGTTTTAGCCTGGAACACGGCCACACAACTGTTTTAACCTGGAACACGGCCACACAACTGTTTTAGCCTGGAACACGGCCACACAACTGTTTTAGCCTGGAGCACGGCCACACAACTGTTTTAGCCTGGAACACGGCCACACAACTGTTTTAGCCTGGAACACACACAACTGTTTTAGCCTGGAACACGGCCACACAACTGTTTTAGCCTGGAACACGGCCACACAACTGTTTTAGCCTGGAACACGGCCACACAACTGTTTTAATCTGGAACACGGCCACACAACTGTTTTAGCCTGGAACACGGCCACACAACTGTTTTAATCTGGAACACGGCCACACAACTGTTTTAGCCTGGAACACACACAACTGTTTTAGCCTGGAACACGGCCACACAACTGTTTTAGCCTGGAACACACACAACTGTTTTAACCTGGAACACGGCCACACAACTGTTTTAATCTGGAACACGGCCACACAACTGTTTTAGCCTGGAACACGGCCACACAACTGTTTTAACCTGGAACACGGCCACACAACTGTTTTAGCCTGGAACACGGCCACACAACTGTTTTAATCTGGAACACGGCCACACAACTGTTTTAGCCTGGAACACGGCCACACAACTGTTTTAGCCTGGAACACACACAACTGTTTTAGCCTGGAACACGGCCACACAACTGTTTTAGCCTGGAACACGGCCACACAACTGTTTTAGCCTGGAACACGGCCACACAACTGTTTTAGCCTGGAACACGGCCACACAACTGTTTTAATCTGGAGCACGGCCACACAACTGTTTTAGCCTGGAACACGGCCACACAACTGTTTTAGCCTGGAACACGGCCACACAACTGTTTTAATCTGGAGCACGGCCACACAACTGTTTTAATCTGGAGCACGGCCACATGCGGTCGCTGTCCTCGCCTCCTTCTCAAACGTCCAAAGAGATTCTTTAAAGATGTTGTGCAAGGTTCATTTCTATTAAATTGATACCACTTTATAACTGCGTTCACCCATAATATATATCATAATCTATAATACTAACGAAGAATCATTGAAAAATATTATGAAATAAGCGCGTAGTGGCGATTTAGATTTCATACCTGCAGAACATCGCGAAACAGGACGTGTGACGTCACTGAGGTAGAAACGGAAAACATAATGGCGGATTGCACTGACAGTGGAAGCGACTCGGATAGGGACAGCAACAGTTCTTCGTCAAGCGAGCGTGTGTCAGAATTCCTGCACCTGACCCCACACATGTTCGAGCCAGATGCGCTGTCAGAAGATGAGGACGGGCAAGAATTGAACGGTGACAGTACTGACAATAGGACTTGGCGAACGGTGGATGTCGACAGGCTGTCGGAATGGTTTGTTATTCCATTAACACTTAGATCCACTGTACCACCCCCTCCTCTCCCTTCTGTTGCCTTTTGACACCCCAATACTGCACTCTAGAGGTCAAATAATCATTACACCTAATCTGGCACCTAAACGGCTGATTTCTATATCAAAAGGTCCACCAGAGGTCAATATAGCACCTTGAGTGAAAAAGTCGTCTAAGACGTCTTTGGGAATGAGTGTGGACATTGTCCCTCACTGACTGGGACAGTTATTCTAAATTCATCGTTATAAAACTTTAATAAAGAAACCTTTTATTGGATTGTATTTGAATTGAACTTTCCCCCTCGAACGTAAGATCTTTCAACAAAGAAATTAACTTTACCAACATACAACATGAGACAACAATCATTTAACTACAGTAAAAACAGTGAATATTCCAGTAAATATACACTTACTTTTTTGCATAGCCCTCCTGATACTGACGCCAATTCACAAAACAATCTTCCGTGAAGTGCTTGTGGCAAGCGAAACTCCACTTCGTCGGCTTGTCAAAATTGGCCCGCTTCCTTCTTATGAACGCGGTCCACATTCTCGCTCTTGCCTTTTCCTTCGGCCATTCATACAGCTTGCTAAACTCTTGCAAGCAATGCATCGCTGCACAGCGGCGTGGCATGGTAAGAGACGGAGAAAAGACGCTAGCGTGTATACCGTGTACAGTGTTTTGACTGAGACGGAGTACTTCCGGGTCTGGCATTCTACCTATATGACGTCACTGGGAAAAGCCGGGCAGTGCCCGCATTCCGTTGCTATGGCCGTTGCTACTATTTCGGGTTTGGGAAGTCGGATGAAAAAAATGTAAATGACAGATTAATCCTAGCCTCTAGACTTGTTTATATGTGGAAATAAACCCACTAGAAATGAACCTTGCACAACATCTTTAAATGATTTTCTCGCAGATCTTGAAATCTCGGGGTGACAGTAGCTCAGTTGGTAGAGCATTGGCCTTCAGGCCTGAAGGTTGTGGGTTCAATTCCCATCTCTACACCTTCTCCACCG